CGCACTCGTTTTAAAACTCGTGGTGATCGGGCCGATCAGGCAGCGGCACCACGGTTGTGTCTTCCTCTGCGCTGCACGTCTTATAAAAAACAGCTGAAGACATTTTTATTTAGAAAAGCATTTGATTAATTTCTTCTTAGATTGTTTTTATTGGTTTACATTGCTGTTTTATTTACTGTTACATTGTTTTATATTTCCATTTCTTGTGTTGTAAAGCTTTTTATCTGTGAAAAGCGCGATATAAATAAATATTACTTACTTTTTACTTACTTACTTTACTTTTGTGTGCGGAAAATCGTGATGAATTTTTATATTCATCACTTGGTTATGTCAGCAAACTGGGATCATATGTATAAAAGTACATTTTGCAGATAGCTCAGTGTCTCACGATGTGTAACTATCCTAAATAAAGCTGTAGGGTCTGAACCCAACAACGTAGTTTATTGTATTCAGTACAAGTTTTTGAGTCTTCTCCCGAATACCTTTTTTTCTTTTCTTTTTTTTTGCCTGTCCCGTTTGGTTCTTTTGCCATCAGAATTATTGTCTAAAGGCGAGGAAAGATGTCCAACGGATTTACTTTACCAAATTGACCATCCTAGCCTTGCCGTAATGGTCTATTTGATTCACCTTTTATTGTTTATTTTTATTTTTTTTCACTTGCTAGATATGGGACAGACTTGAATGAGGAAAAGAAAAGGGAGAAAGGAAGAGGGGGAAAAAAACAGCGGAGAAGAGGGACGGGAATAAAGGGCAAAAAAAACAAAAACCAACTAAATAAGCAGACAGAAAAAAATACATATATCAATCACCTGGATCACCTGTTGAGAAAGAAAAAAGAAAACAAGCAGAAGAAAACGAGAGCAATACAATAAACAACATCACGATGATATATGGGAATATGACAGTAAATACTAAATATTAAACATTATTGTGCAGCACGTAAGATCGACAGCGCACAGTGTGCTTTGATATAGGAGCCAAAAAGGGTGTCGTTTGTGTGTGTGAGCACCCGTGTGTACACCTGTGAGCAAATACCTAAATAAAGTGCAAAATTGGTTTTTAAGCAGTAACTGCAAAGAAAATATATATATATTTAATACAAATTAATATATAAATATATATTTAATGTGAGAGAAAGTTCAATAAACACTCAATGTTCAAAGGAAAATAGATTTTTATTTCTAACATTTCATGTTTCAGGCTTTAAAGGGCAAACCTTATAATATAAAGTGTCTTGAATGACCATTGCTGTTTTGGAACTGTGAAATTAAAAAACCATTAGAAGATTAGAAAGCCTTGATGTTTCCCAAACTCTGCAAACCGTTTTTTCCAGTTTAAAGAAAAAAAACTCCTGTGCCGATTAAAAGGCGCATGTATATTATACCTGTCATACTGCCAGCTCATCAAGCTGTTAACCGTACCACTGACCTTTTTCAGTTTTTCAATCTGCTTCTGGCGCACAGCGGTGTTATCTATGGCCAGGACCTCCACCGTCTCCTCCGTCTCCAGACGGTACTTGTTCACACCAACAATAACTTCTGAGCCTGAAACATTCAGGAGAACGACAGAGGATAAATGACAGACACAAAGGAAGTAAATGGTAAGTTATTAGGGCGACGATGAGAAGAAATGAAGATCATT